GGTTATCCCACTGGCTATAGGATGAGAGCGTCTGCTAAATGACGTAAATGTGCCCTTGAGCAAGGCACTTAACCCTAATTGCTCCTGTAAGTCGCTCTGGATAAGAGCGTCTGCTAAATGACTAAAATGTAAATGTAATATTTCATATTATTTATTTTTTTACATTTGCAAACATTTCTAAATAACTGTTTTTGCTTTGTCATTATGGGGTATTGTGTGTAGATTGATGAGGGAAAAAAAACGATTTAATCAATTTTAGAATAAGGCTGTAAGGGGTCTGAATACTTTCCGAATGCACTGTAATGGCATAACATACGGACATAATTATCACCATAGGGAAATGTCCCCCTTTATAAGGACCTTACCCAGTCATATAATTATACCTTTCTCAGTGATGTCTCTAAACCAAACTGTATACGGTTTTGTGACGTACAGGACTGTCAAAAGTTTTGTATTTATCTGATATTCTGATTATGAATGAAGGCCAAACCTAAGAATAACAAAAAGTTATTTTACGCGCAAATTTAAGCACAATAATGGTCTACTGTAAAAGGTAAATGTTAAATGGTAAAAAGCTTTGACATAAAATCTAAAATCTAGTAGAAATATTGATTTCTCCCTTTTAATATTCTATGGCCCAATCTAAGTGTCACGAATTCAGCCGAGGCTGCTCCTCCTCCTTGCTCGGGTAGGCTTCGGCATTCGTTGTCATCGGAGTACTAGCTGCCACCGATCTATGTTTCTGTGTTCTACTTGTTTTGTCTATATTGCACACACCAGGTTCCAATTACGATAATTTGTTTCCCTATTTCACCCTCTGGTTCCCTCATTGTGTTGTGCGTGATTGTTCGTTGTTTTGTTGTCATTGACATGTGAGTCGGTATTTTCTTCCCTGCGTGGAAGATATGTTTATTTACTTGTGACAAGTAAAGTACGTCGTTGACTAAGTTCTGTGTCCTGCACCTGACTCCGTCCTACCGCTACACACTGACGCATGACAGAATCACGCACCATTATGGAGTCAGCAGGTACATCCATTCCTACAGGATCAATGGAGGAACGCATCCAGCAGCACTCGACCATGCTACAGACTCTTGGCACAGCCATGGATAGAGTGGTCCAGACTATGGAGCGATGGGAGAGGGGGGGGGGGGGGGGGGGGTGGGGGTTCTACACCTCCTTCCACTACTATTCACTCCACACCGCTGTCCACCCCTTCACCACCTGGATCCAGTGGGATTCGGCTCTCGCTCCCGAGGGCATATGATGGAACAGCTGCCGGGTACCAGGGGTTTCTGCTCCAGGTGGAGCTCTACCTGGCGACCATCCACCCGGCTCCCTCGGGATACGAGAGCGTGTCCGCCCTCATCTCCTGTCTGTCGGGGAAAGCGCTCGAATGGGCCAATAATGAGTGGGGAGGAATAGATGCGGCATCGGTGCGCTATGAAGATTTCACCCGCCGTTTCCGGGCGGTATTTGATCATCCACGGGAGGGGAGAGCGGCGGGGGAACGGTTGTACCACCTCAGACAGGGGAAGAGGAGCGCACAGGACTTCGCACTGGACTTCAGGACCTTGGCAGCCAGCGCGGGATGGAATGAGAGGGCCCTGATCGACCATTACTGATGTAGCCTACGGGAGGATGTTCGTCGGGAGCTGGCCTGCAGGGACACCACCCTTAACCTGGACCAGCTGGTGGATTTATCGATACGACTGGATAACCTGTTGGCCACCCGCGGACGTCTGGATCAGGGTCCGTCCAGTCCATTCCCCAGCACTTCCGACCCTACACCGATGGAGCTCGGAGGTGCTGATCTAAGGGTGACCGGAAGGGGGGCTGTTTCCTGCACCAACTGTGGCCGCAGAGGACACACTGCTGGTCGGTGCTGGAAAGGGTCCTCAGGGAGTCGAGGCAGCAAGCAGGGCACTGGTGGACTATCCCAGGTGAGTAGGCACACGACTCACCCAGAGCTCCCTGTTGCGCACGTGTGTTCACATAGAATTTCCTGAGTTTTCCCCGCATTCCCAGCATAAGGCGCTCATAGATTCAGGTGCAGCTGGGAATTTTATGGACCGTCTATTTGCACATAGATTAGGGATCCCTATTGTGCCTGTTGATGTGCCCTTCCCTATACATGCCTGAGATAGTCGCCCTTTAGGGTCAGGCCTGATTAGGGAGGTCACAGCTCCACTCTGGATGAAAATGCAGGAGGGTCATGAGGAGAGAATTAGTCTCTTCCTGATCGATTCTCCTGCGTTTGCAGTGGTGTTGGGGCTTCCCTGGTTAGCCTCTCATGACCCCAATATTTCGTGGCAACAGAGGGCTCTCAAGGGATGGTCCCGTCAGTGCTCGGGGAGGTGTGTAGGTGTTTCCGTAGGTGCAACTACGGTGGAGAGTCCAAACCAGGTCTCCACTATGCACATTCCTCCCGAATATGCTGATATGGCTCTCGCCTTCTGTAAAAGGAAGGCGACTCAATTATCACCCCATCGACAGAGGGATTGTGCGATAAATCTCCGGGAGGGCGCTGCACTTCCTCGGACTCACGTGTATCCTCTGTCACAGGAAGAGACAGCGGCTATGGAAACATATGTCTCCGAATCTCTGGGACAGGGATACATTCGGCCTTCCACTTCCCCTGCCTCCTCGAGTTTCTTTTTTGTGAAGAAGAAGGATGGAGGTTTACGCCCGTGCATTGACTATCGAGGTCTCAATCAGATAACGGTGAAGTACAGTTATCCACTACCTCTCATTACTAGTCTGACGGAGTCATTACACGGGGCGCACTTCATCACCAAATTGGATCTCAGGAGCGCGTACAACCTGGTGCGTATCCGGGAAGGGGATGAGTGGAAGATGGCATTTAGAACTACCTCTGGGCACTATGAGTACCTCGTCATGCCGTACGGGTTGATGAATGCTCCATCAGTCTTCCAATCCTTTGTCGATGAGATTTTCAGGGACCTGCACGGACAGGGTGTAGTGATGTATATAGGTGATATTCTCATATACTCCGCTACACGAGCCGAGCATGTGTCCCTGGTGCGCAAGGTCCTTGGTCGACTGTTGGAACATGACCTGTACGTCAAGTCTGAGAAATGTCTGTTCTTTCAACAGTCCGTCTCCTTCTTAGGCTACCGCCTGTCCACGTCAGGGGTAGAGATGGAAAATGACCGCATTTCAGCCATGCGTAATTGGCCGACTCCAACCACGGTTAAGGAAGTGCAGCGATTCTTAGGGTTTACCAACTACTACCGGAGGTTTATCCGGGGCTTTGGTCAGGTAGCGGCTCCCATTACCTCCTTGCTGAAGGGGGGACCGGTGCGCTGTGTTAGTGGGAAGTACTGGTGGCCTACTTTAGCTAAGGACGTGAGGGTTTATGTTTCCTCCTGCTCGGTGTGCGCCCAGTGCAAGGCACCTAGACACCTGCCCAGAGGGAAATTACAACCTTTACCCGTTCCACAACGGCCGTGGTCACACCTATCGGTGGATTTCGTTACGGACCTCCCCCCGTCACAAGGGAATACCACGATCTTAGTCATTGTGGATCGGTTTTCTAAGTCCTGCCGTCTCAATCCTTTGCCCGGTCTCCCTACGGCCCTACAGACTGCGGAGGCCCTGTTTACTCACGTCTTCCGGCACTACGGTGTACCTGAGGATATAGTGTCTGATCGGGGTCCCCAGTTCACATCAAGGGTCTGGAGGGCGTTCATGGACCATCTGGGGGTTTTGATCAGCCTGACATGAGAGTAATGGGCAGGTGGAGAGAGTAAACCAGGATGTGGGTAGGTTTCTGAGGTCCTATTGCCAGGACCGCACAGGGGATTGGTCGGTTTACATCCCCTGGGCAGAGATGGCCCAAAACTCCCTCCGCCACTCCTCCACTAACCTGTCTCCATTTCAGTGTGTACTAGGTTATCAGCCGGTCCTGGCACCGTGGCATCAGAGCCAGATCGAGGCACCTGCGGTGGATTAATGGTTTCAGCGCTCGGAGGAAACCTGGAACGCTGCCCATGTACGCCTGCAACGGGCTATCAGGCGACAGAAGGCGAGCGCCGACCGCCACCGCAGTGAGGCCCCGGTGTATGCAACGGGGGACCGGGTCTGGCTCTCAACCCAAAACCTGCCCCTTCGCCTGCCCTGCCGGAAGCTGGGTCGGCTGTTTGTGGGGCCATTTAAAGTCCTAAGGAGATTGAACGAGGTTTGTTATAGGATTCAGCTCCCTCCTGATTACCGCTTTAACCCCTCGTTCCATGTGTCTCTCCTCAGGCCGGTGGTAGCTGGTCCGCTCCAGGAGTCTGAGGTGCGGGAGGCCCCTCCGCCCCCACTGGACATCGAGGGGGCACCGGCGTACTCGGTCCGTTCCATCCTGAATTCGAGGCGTCGGGTGGGGGGCCTGCAGTATCTTGTGGAGTGGGAGGGGTACGGTCAGGAGGAACGGTGCTGGGTTCCTAGGAGGGACATCCTCGATCCGTCCCTGTTGAGGGATTTCCACCGTCGTCATCCGACTCGCCCTGCTCCGCGTCCTCCTGGCCGTCCCCGAGGCCGGTGTCGGCGCACGGCTGGATCCGCGCGTCAATGGGGGGGTTCTGTCATGAATTCAGCCGAGGCTGCTCCTCCTCCTTGCTCGGGCAGGCTTTGGCGTTCGTTGTCATCGGAGTACTAGCTGCCACCGATCTATGTTTTTTTGATCTACTTGTTTTGTCTATATTGCACACACCTGGTTCCAATTATGATAATTTGTTTCCCTATTTTACCCTCTGGTTCCCTCATTGTGTTGTGCGTGATTGTTCGTTGTTTTGTTGTCATGTGAGTCTGTATTTTCTTCCCTGCGTGGAAGATATGTTTATTTACTTGTGACAAGTAAAGTACGTCGTTGACTAAGTTCTGTGTCCTGCGCCTGACTCCGTCCTACCGCTACACACTGACGCAGGACACTAAGACATCTTCTGAGAAAGCATAAAACAATAAAATAACATGATAAAGCCAGACTGAGACCATCTTGCTGTAAAGCACGTTTTTTTAATTGATGCTATACGGAAGTGAATACATGAGTGACATGGTGAGAGAACCAATCAGACACTAGGTCATAGGTTACAATCTAACCATCCTTCTGTTGCTGCTGTTCCTTCTGGTAGGTGTAGGTGTAGTAGACGGTGCCTTTCTTCAGGTGGCAGGTCTCGATGTGTGTTCCTGGGTAGATGGTGGTGGTGCAGGTTCCCAGGCGGTGATCTGGTCCGACGTTATCATCCCACACCTAATAATAATAATTACAATAATAAATAAAACAACATAAATATTTATTAATTTATTAATAATAACAATACTAATAACAATAATAATAAAAATAATACAAAATAAATAATACTAATAATACTAATAAATAATACTCATAATTCTCCTCCTCCTCCTCATCCTCCTTGTCCTCCATTTCTTCCTCATCCTCTTCCTCATCATCATCATCATCATAATTGATTGGATTTACAAACTGCTTTTCCATTGCTCAAAGCACTTTACATAGTAAGGGGGGAAACTCACCTCCAGCTTCAGGACAGACTTGTGGATGACGTCTAGGAAGTTGAACTCGCCGGGCCAGTTGGGGTTGGCCTGGTTCTTCAGAACGCTGGTCATGCCACCGAAGGCTGGGCCGCACCACACCTAAGGAAGATAATGTTGTCAGTAGACTTTTATTATTAAACGTTTTTTTATTAAATATCAACGTTTCATTAACTGACTGTTCTGGTTAAATAAAGGTTAAATAAATGAATAAATTCACCTTGACGTAGGGGTCTGGCTGGGAGATGATGTCTCCTTTCAGGTTGGTGGCACTAATGCCCCACACCCTGACGCGGTCGTCATACGGGCCACATTGTACAAGAGCCAGGATGCATAGCACCAGCAGACCCAGGGACAGAGAGAGAGAGGCCATGGTACACTGTCTGAGAGTGAGGAGAGAGAAGGGGGGAGAGGAGAGGGAGGAGGAGAGGAGAGGAGAGGAGAGGAGGAGAGGGAGAGGAGATTGAGAGTAAGGGATGCTCATATAAATCCATGTCAGATTGTGTGTCCATAAGAGCTTGAAACTAACACTACAAACTTGAAAGATCAGGACGTATTATCTTTATTAAGAGATCAGTCAGTGGAGGAAGAGAGAGACAGACAGCGACACAGAGAGAGAAAGCGAGACAGAAAGAGAGAGGGAAAGAGAGACAGTGAGAGAGAGAGATAGAGAGAGAGCATTGAAAGAGAGAGAGAAGAAGAGAAAGAAGATCGAAAGAAAAGAGAAAGCCTATAGAAGAACATGCCTGGTGAAAAAAGAAAGAGAAAGAGTATAGATGAAGAGCCAGCTAGAGGAGATCCCTCTCTCCTCTTTCCCCTCTCCGATCTCTCTCTCTCTCTTCTCTCTCTCTCTCTCTCCTCTCTCTCTCTCTATCCTCTCTCTCTCTCTCTCTCTCTCTCTCTCTCTCTCTCTCTCTCTCCCCTCTCTCTCTCTCTCTCTCTCTCCTCTCTCTCTCGCTCTTTCTCTCTCCTCTCTTCCTTCAGAGGGAGAGAGGGGGGGTAGACCGAGAAGAACAGAACCAGAACAACAGACAGTCTTACCTGTATATCCTTGAGATGGACGTCTGTCTTTCTCTAGTCACCCAACTGCTGATGGTCCTTACTGTGCCCTCTAGCTGTTTATAAAGATCTCAGCCCCCCCCCAGGTGGTATGATGACCCACAGGTGGTATGTAGGACTACTTAGTGATGAATTAACCAATGAGAACACACCCTATATTACCAGGAGACATATGGAAGCCTATAAAGTGTAACAACAAATTCTGATACTATCTGAAATGCTGATTGAACAAATTCTATTCCAGATAATGTCTAAAGGCCAGCCCAGTGAATAAACAGTTAGGTAAGGGAGAGGGTGGAGATGGTAAATAGTACTGCATAGAGTTTGGAATAATTCATCAGTAATACCATTGAAGCTTCATCCCAGGGCCCTATCAACCGGATGAGTTGTAAAACCTTTTGGTTTTATCCTCAATCACTGTGGAGAATGTGTCTCTCAAAGGAAACATTCCGTACTATGGACTACATCTGTTACTGTGGTGGAACAGGTCCCCAGCCGGTCGTCAGCTGACACATCGTTGTCCCACACCTCCAGCTCCAGGTTGTCATTGGCCACATCATTGCAGATGAACTCGTTACTCCAGGTGGGGGTCAGAATTGTTGTTAATGATTTCAGAAACAGGTGTTGTGCAAAAATAGAATGCAACTTTCAAATAAATATCACAGTCTGTAAATATGCCCGTATAGTTTCAAAAACATATGTCATGATCCAAAAGCAAATATGAGTCATCATTAACAAAAACAAATGATGATTAGCAAATAAATGCAAGTCAGGTTTTTTTCTGGTTAACACAGAACATTTTACAAACATATTTCTTACTTTGCAAAAACAGTGGTCAAATATGTTTTTGTAACTATGACAACATTGTGACTCCACGGATTAGATATGTGACCTGTATCGTACTTTATTATTAGGATATCCTCATTTCTTTTTTTGGTGATCAAATGTTTTTTTATTTATTAATAATAATTGTCAGCAAACAAGAATACATACATACAACATGAGGTTACACCCATTTTTCCCAAGACCAGCTTATCGTAAATTGAGACAATATTCCTTCCCCCTCCCCAATACAATTTAGATTCTATTGTCCCCAAGTAACTGTTCTTCTCTAGAAAGTAACTATAGAATTAGTCAATGCCAAGGAGATACATGTACACTGAAAGGACAATATAAAAGAGGAAATATAGCATGTAAGTCAATCATTTTTCTATGGATGTGTGTGTGTGTGTGAGTGAGAGAGAGAGGGTGTGTGTGTGTATATGTGGGTATGTGTCTGTGCATGTGGGATGGGAGAGTGCGGGAGGGTGATTGTGGATGTGTGTGGGAGGGCAGGAGAAAGTGGGTGTGCGGAGGCGTGGGGTGTATGTTGTGTGTGAATGGATGAGTGGGGGGATAAGGTTAACTTTAACTATACAAGTAAATACCAACAAAATCCAACTTATCACATGGAATGTCAACAGGCTCCATGATGGGTAAACCAAGCATATGGTTCTCGAACACCTAAATATGTGGGGGTTCTTTGCATTTTAAAAAAAATAAGAAATTGAACATTTAAAGAGGAGCTGTGTTGGAGAGGCCCATGCTGCCACCCACTGTAGTAACAGCAGAGGGTTAGGCATCCTGATAAATAAGAAAACACAATTTTCCCTCATATCCCAGCATATTTTCTAAGGCGGCCATTTGCACAAATAGAATTTGCATTTTTGCATATTTTCTAAGGCTTAATTGCACAAATAGAAAAAAACATTTAGCGACAAATTTGGAGAATGAACAGAGCGCATCTTCTAGATAAACCCAGAGAAAAAAAAAAGAAAATAAGAAATCACTATTTTAGAAAAAGTCCATAAAAAATCTTTACAAGGTAAAGAAGAAAATACTATTTCTGAACTTAAGCAGGAATACGAACGTTTACTTCTGAAGAGAGCAAACACTTACAGATTAATCTCGTACTCGTTAATGGCAACTTCACCTGGTAAATATATTGCAGCTCTCAGTAAATACATACAGTGCATTTGGAAAGTATTAAGACCCCTTGACTTTTTCCACATTTTGTTACATTACAGCCTTATTCTAAAATTGATTGAATAAATGTTTATGGGATATGTAGCTCTCTCATTCTTGAATGTATCAGTCTGAACCTTTGCACACACACAGCTGCCCTCTTGTGGACAACATCTAAATTACACCCAGCTTTCTATGTCAATGTATGGCCTTTCTTTTGCATTTCAAAAATAAAAAACTATTCCACCACAGTTACAGATGTAGTCCATAGTATGGAACGTTTCCTGGGGCAGAGTTTCCTGAACCCTCAACTATAGCTACAGCGAGACAGCAGCTCTGTCCCAAGAGGATGAACTTTGACTTTCTGCCTTTGACCCTACTCTCATGTGAGTGTCTCATCTGATATGACAATCCTCACTTCAGTATGGCATGAATAAAGAAACCTGCATCTCAGCATTATGGTCTCAGTCTGGTTCTTTGTGTTATCATCGTAAAGTGTTAGTAAAAGCTTTACATCTGTTCTTGTCTTCATATTTGTCAGTGATTGTACATTTTTAGCTTTATTTACAAATTCCGGAGATTTTGAGAGACATAATTTATTTTTTACAGACTCTCCACATCATTACCATCTTTTAGCAAATATCCATCTCCTGTCTCATCGCTTTTAAGAAAGTGACAAATCAACAACGGCCCAATATATAACTGTATCTCAACACCCTCTCTGATAAGATTACAGAAAGCTGTAGACTAGATCCACACTGTCTGTACATACTTCAGCTGTGGGATGACATCACAATAACAAACATTCTAAAGTGAACATGAACATATAATTCAAACATTCAAAAAATTCCCTTGGCAGATGTGGCTAGGATCCTGTAGCACAGACAGACAGACGGCTGCTGCTAAAAGATAAGACTTCCAGCAGCAGCCTGTGTTTGTGTGTGGCGCCACAGAGAGAGGGGAGAGGGGTATGTTCTGTAGCCAGTGTATATTGTCACTGTGGGAGTGGCGCATATTATTACACCTTAATTAGCTCTGTAGTCTTCTGTACTTCTTTAATACAAAACGTTTATTAATTAGATCTTGTAATATTTACCACAAGTGGATTCACTGCATTCAAAGTGATTGAGGATAAAACCAAAAGGTTTTACAACTCATCCGGTTGATGGGGCCCTGGGATGAAGCTTCTATTGAAGCCAGAGACGCTGTTTGTATGTGGCGTCACAGAGAGAGTGGTATAACTGTAGTGTGTATAGGCTTTGTCCCACATGACACCCTATTCACTTTACAGTGCACTACTTTTGAACATTAGTGCACTATATAGAGAATAGGGTGACATTTGGGACGTAAACATTGTCACTGTAGGAGTGGTGCTTATAATACCACTCCTACTGAAACAGTGGGCTGTGTGGCGCCTGTTGTCTTCATATAGACAGTGATCAATGGTATTACTGATGAATTATTCTAAACTCTATGCAGTACTATTTACCATCTCCGCCCTCCTCCTTACCTAACTGTTTATTCACTGGGCTGGCCTTTTGACAATATCTGGAATTTAATTTGTTCAATCAGCATTTCAGATAGTATCAGAATTTGTTGTTACACCATATAGGCCTCCATATGTCTCCTGGTAATATAGGGTGTGTTCTCATTGGTTAATGCGTAACTAAGTAGTCCTACATACCACCTGTGGGTCATCATACCACCTGGGGGGGGGGGCTGGGATCTTTATAAACAGCTAGAGGGCACAGTAAGGACCATCAGCAGTTGGGTGACTAGAGAAAGACAGACGTCCATCTCAAGGATATACAGGTAAGACATTGTCTGTTGTTTTCTCTCGCTCTCTCTCTCTCTCGTGAATCAGTTGATTGCAGACAGTGAGTGGCTTTCCTAAAAGCGCTTTTAGATTTCCACAGCAGCAGATATAGAAACGGACTATCAGTTTGGTTGAGTCCACTGGATGACTTCTCAGCAAGGTTTGCTGTCAGAACTGAATGTGTCACACCATGGGACTGACAGTTTGTATTTCAAGTGTGATCTCCCTCCATCCAGGATACGCTGGTGTGTAAATCAAACACACTTCTGAAAAGCTACTATCTGCAATTGAATAAGAGCCTGTATTTCTGCTGATTCAGGATTGTTCTAGAGTGTCTTCCATTTATTTCTCTCTCTCTCTCTCTCTCTCTCTCTCTCTCTCTCTCTCTCTCTCTCTCTCTCTCTCTCTCTCAATTCAATTTCAATTTCAATTTAAGGGCTTTATTGGCATGGGAAACATATATTTACATTGCCAAAGCAAGTGAAGTAGATAGTAAACAAAAGTGAAGAAAACAAAAAAATGAACAGTAAAAATTACACTCACAAAGTTCCAAAGGAATAGAGACATTTAAAATGTCATATTATTGCTATATACGGTGTTGTAACAATGTGAAAATAGTTAAGTACAAAAGGGAAAATAAATAAACATAAATCTGGATTGTATATACAATGGTGTTTGTTCTTCACTGATTGCCCTTTTCTTGTGGCAACAGGTCACAAATCTTGCAGCTGTGATTGCACACTGTGGTATTTCACCCAATAGATATGGGAGTTTAACATAATTAGATTTGTTTTCACATTTTTGTGGGTCTGTGTAATCTGAGGGAGGTATGTGTCTCTAATATGGTCAGCTCAGTTTCCACATCATTTCCCACCTAATCTCTCTCTCTCTCTCTCTCTCAATTTCAATTTCAATTTAAGGGCTTTATTGGCATGGGAAACGTGTGTTCACATTGCCAAAGCAAGTGAAGTAGATAGTAAACAAAAGTGAAATAAACAATAAATATTAACAGTAAACTTACACTCAGAAGTTTCAAAAGAATAAAGACATTTCCAAATTTCCATATTATGTGGAGATACAGTGTTGTAACATTGGTTGCAAATAGTCTCTCTCTCCCTCTCCTCTCTTCTCTCTTCTCTCTCTCTCTCCTCTCTCTATCCTCCAATAAACTAATCTGTTTTAATACTGATAATATGTCCTGGAAACTTCACCCTCTATTTTTACTCCTTGTCCTGAATACAGTTTTGTAGTGTTAGGTTCAAGCTATTATGGACACCCATGTGAAATGTTTTTATGTATCTTCATCTCCTCTCTCTCCTATCCTCTCCTTCTCCTCTCCTCTACTCTCCTCTCCTCTCATATCCTCATCCTCTCCTCTCTCTCCTACTCTCTACTCTCCTCTACTCTTCTCTCCTCTCCTCTCCTCTCCTCTCATTCTCCTCTCCTCTCCTCTCCCTCTCCTCTCCTCTCTCTCAGACAGTGTACCATGGCCTCTCTCTCTCTGTCCCTGGGTCTGCTGGTGCTATGCACCCTGGCTCTTGTACAATGTGGCCCGTATGACGACCGCGTCAGGGTGTGGGGCATTAGTGCCACCAACCTGAAAGGAGACCTCCTCTCCCAGCCAGACCCCTACGTCAAGGTGAATTTATTCATTTATTTAACCTTTATTTAACCAGAACAGTCAGTTAATGAAACATTGTTATTTACAAGGAGGGACTGGCAGGTGGGGTGGTAAAACAGAAGAAGTACAGTAATGTTACAGACAGGACAGGCATCATAACACAAAAGGACAGAGACACAGCAATAATCAACCACTAAACAGTAGACAGTCAGCAGTCATTTGTTTGTATATCAAGTAGGCTACAGTGACGTGGACCATGAAAATGTCAGTGATTGGCTTGTTACTTGTTAGGTGAACGAACAAACAAACGAATGAACAGATAAATGAACAAACAAATTAATTAATGAATTTTAAAATACATGTAGATGTTCCTCAGCCAAGTGAGCCAACTATACATACATTACAAATCATAATAAAAAAACATTTAATAATAAAAGTCCACTGACAACATTATCTTCCTAAGGTGTGGTGCGGCCCAGCCTTCGGTGGCATGACCAGCGTTCTGAAGAACCAGGCCAACCCCACCTGGCCCGGCGAGTTCAACTTCCTAGACATCATCGACAAGTCTGTCCTGAAGCTAGAGGTGAGTTTCCCCCCTTACTATGTAAAGTGCTTTGAGCAATGGAAAAGCAATATGTAAATCCAATTGATTATGATGATGAGGATGAGGAGGAAGAGGAGGAGGAAGATTATTACTATTACGATTATTATTATTATTATTATTAGGTGTGGAATGATAACGTCGGACCAGATAACCGCCTGGGGACCTGCACCACCACCATCCGCAAAGGAACACACATCGAGACCTGCCACCTGAAGAAAGGAACCGTCTACTACACCTACACCTACGACTACAGCCACTAGAAGGAACAGAATGATGGTTAGATAGTAACCTATGACCTTTATGACCTTGTGTCTGATTGGTTCTCTCACCCTGTCACTCATGTATTCACTTCAGTACAACGTCAATAAATAAATAAAATACTTTACGGCAAGATGGCCTCAGTCTGGCTTTATCATGTTTATGTATTATTTTATGTTTTCCCAGAATATGTCTTAGATTGGTCCATAGCATATTAAAAACGATAAATCAATATTTCTACTAAATTTGAGAGTTGATGTCAAAGCTTTTTACCATTCGACATTTACCTTTTACAGTATAACATTATTTTGCTTAAAACTGAGTTTAATATCACTTTATGTTATTCTATGGTTTGGCCTTCATTCATAATCAGCATATCAGATCAATAAATACATTCCCTGTGGTAATAATTAAGTCCTTATGTTATGTGATCTTAAGGCTCCAACCTGGTATGAAGCTGCAGCATCACCATCAGCAAAGGAACCCACAAATTCACTGAGCCCGCCATTAGACCTACAGTTTCGGATGAGACACCTCCAAACATTTGTAAAAAAAAAATAATTTTACATTTTGGTCAAGAAATGCGTAAGTGTTTTTAGGTTCTCATGTCATTGGAGCATCAAAAAACATAATGCATGTGGAAATGAACTGAACGATCATTCACAATGGTATATTATCATCAACAAAAAAGATTACTTTATCACATCAGATGGGGGCGCTGTTGTATAGAGAAGTGCTTGCTAGGAGTCATAAAGCTTCTCAGAGTAGGACTGCTGAGTTTTTCCTTTCAGATCAGGGGAGACCTGTTCCTCATTCATAAAGTGGATCAGATTAGGAGTGCTGATCTAGGATCAGGTTTTCTCAGTCCAGAACAATCTGCTTCAATATGATCTAAAAAGCAAAACTTTTATGAACACGCTTTATGAATACGGGCATAGATCAGGGCCCATGTCCACAAAGCGCCTCAGAGTAGAGAGAACGCTTTCCAACAACAGGTGGTTTCTGTTGACTATCTAATGGATGTTCTTGAACAGGAAAACAGCTGAGAGCAGAGCATTATATTAACATTTGAGTCATTTAGCAGACGCTCTTATTCAGAACGACTTACAGAGGAGGACAGAGGAGTCGAGGAGAGGACAGACTTTTGCCCAAATGAGAATCTCCCAGGGAATAAAATGTATCTCAGTGACCGGGAAACTAATGAGTGGTCGAGAGGTCGAGGAGAGTGTTAATTCGTTAGTAGGTGAAAGGAGGAGTCTGTTCTCCTCCTGGATTACCTACTTCAGCAGAGGATTCCCATGAGTATCCTTTCAGATTCTAGCTCGGAAGTGTTTTAAAATCCACCTCACCCCCTTTGAATCAGCTGTTGTTTTCTGGAAGGAGAAAAGCATGCTACTTATACTTTTATCTATAAAATGTATTCTACAACTAATAGCTACTTTTATTTGTATCACTTTACACATTTATTTTGGGATTACAATGAGCCAATGAGGATGGTATGATGGTATGTCTCCACATGCCTGACTGAGATGTGAGGTCATTCCTCAGGATCTTCGGTGTGTGCGTGCGTGCGTGCGTGCATGTTTGCCAATGGTATGATATCCAGGTTGCGTCTCCCCTGCTTGTACAACGACACTACTGAGGCAGAATTTGACTTTATTCAAGCAAGGTAGTTATTGATGGCTGATAGAGGATTGATAAAAATTGGTGGGAAATTACTACAGTATCTCAAGCTGATTAGGTGATGGAGCCTGGCCAATGGGAAGAAGATTGGTATCACTGGTATCAGTAACAACAAGACAACCTATTGGATAATCACAGTGTGGTAATTATAACGTGACAGCCCATTGGATAATCACAGTGTGGTCATTAATGATGTGACAGCCCATTGGGTAATCATAATACTGGTCTGTAGTATGGTAACACATTTTTGTTGTTTGCTTTAGCTATAGACAATGAAAATGTATTGTACATCAATCTCTGTGACAGTAATGTCCCATGCCTTGTCACACCTAACCAAACCACAGGACTGACTGACTCTCTCTCTCTCCATGCTGGGAATGTTTGGTGCATGCTGGGAATTGTATGAGCGAGTGTTGTCTGTAGTTAGATCGCCTGGTTTTCCTTTTTCTATGTATGATTAAGTTATTTGTATTTTTTTAATGATAGGTATATTGTATTTCTTGTTGGAATTGCCCTGGTTTTGGTGGGGATGGCGACCCACATGGGGATGCTGTCCTTGTCACTTCGGCATTGGCTTCAGGTGTGTTACTGAAGCTACTGTCACTGTGGAGGAGTTTCTGGTCGCCGATCGGATGGTTGAGCATGGCATACTTCTTAAAGGTGTGTTTATTCAAGTTACGCCACTTTTTTTCTCCGTTAAAGGGTAACGATTTCGAATGTACCGCCGTTTATTCCCAATGAGCTATTGGAGCGCAAGTTATTGGATTAAAGCTGCAGCCCTGTACCTGCCACTGCACCAGGGTGGGCAAGGCCTCAGCCCTGTACCTGCCAGTGCACCAGGGTGGGCAAGGCCTGGTGGACATTTCTTCTAGGATCATGGCTTTCCGGCTTCAAGCAGCCCAGAGACTGTTGTACTGTGACGGTTCTAGCTGGGTCGATACTACCCACACATTGATGAGGAGAGCGGGCTGTTTGGGCTTAGACAAGCACCGTTTCCTCTTAAAGCTAGAGGGGGGTGGTTTGTCTGGCCTGACTCCATTCTATGAGTCTGTTATGCTGCTTGGAGAGTTTGTCATGTCCCGTAAGGCCATACGATAATCTCGCCTACTGAGGAAGGTCGTAGCTGAGGTCTGCGATTCCTTGCCAGTACTTCATCGGCAGTATGTGATTGATACACTCCGATCGGTGGAAGGAGGGTCTGGATTATGTGTTCCCTGTGCTGAATGTTAGTGCTGCGGCGGGGGCGTTAGAGGAAGAAGTGGGGATGCTGCTTTCCTTTGATACCCCGGAGCTGGGGGAGTTCAAGGAGGTGGGAAAGATGGCCATGTACATAATATGTGTAAAAGTGTCCCGTGCTTCATCCCTGGAAGGGGTAAAATCGACGAGGTGGGCGGGTGTGTTTGGTCCAGGTGCCTCCCCAAAAGGCTGTTGGCGGTCTTTATATAAACTGCCTATTGATAAGAGGACGGCTGACACCCAATGGAGGATAATACATGGAGCCATAGCCACCAACACGCATCTGGTACACCTGGATCCTACTGTTGGGGAGGGATGTCCATTCTGTGCTGAGTCTGAAACTCTGGCACATCTGTTCTTACAGTGTCCCAGGTTGGTCGGGATGATTGACCTGATCACTGGTTGGTTCTCAGCTCTGGAAGAGGTTTTCTCTTCCCAACTGTTTATATTGGGGCCAAAGTACAGGTTCAGTGTAAGGGGTGTAGTTATTTTGCTTAACTTTGTGTCAGGGGCAGCTAAATTAGCAATTTGGAAGACACAAAATAACCGAATTCGGGGACAGGGGTCTGTGGATGTGTTGGGAATGCTGGAGGGGATGTTGGCAGCGAGACTGAAGGTTTATGAGTATATGGGGTATTCAGAGGTTGTTGTGTTTAGTTAATGTGGAGTAAGATTTGATGTTGTGTTTTTAATTGATGTTTAACCATGTTTTTGTTTGTTTGAGTGTTTGTGTTGTGGGTTCCCAGACCAATAAAGGTTTTCTAAATCTCTCTCTCTCTCTCTTCTCCTCTCTCTCTTCTCTCTCTCTCTCTCTCTCTCTCTCTCCCTCTCCTCTCTCTCTCCATCCCTCTTCCTCTCTCTCTCAGCTCTCTCTCCTCTCTCCTCTCTAGTCATTTAAGGGGCTTATTGGCATGGGAAACATATGTTTTACATTGCCAAAGGAAGTGGAATTGTAATAGATAATATAAACAAAAGTGAAATAAACAATAAAGTAAACCAGATAAACCTTACACTAACAAAAGTTCTCTCTCTCTATCTCTCTCTCTCCTTCCCATCCTCTCTCTCTATCTATCTCTCTCTATCTCCTCTCTCTCTCTCTCTCTCTCTCCCTCTGTCTCTCTCCCTCTCTCTCTCTCTCTCTCTCTCTCTCTCAAAATGTTGTAAATATATAAGTAGTGAGTCACAAACAAAACAGGTGTTGTGTAAATATAGAATGGAACTTCCAAATACAAATCAGAGTCTGTAAATATGCCCGTATAGTTTCACAAACATATGTCATGATCCAAAAGCAAATGAGTCATCATTAACAAAAACAAATGATGATTAGCAAATAAATGCAAGTCAGGTTTTTTTTCTGGTTAACACAGAACATTTTACAAACATATTTCTTACTTTGCAAACACAGTGGTCAAATATGTTTTTGTAACTATGACAACATTGTGACTCCACGGATTAGATTTGAGACCTGTGTCGTACATATTTGTGACTTGCGTTACATTTGTGAGTTGCTCCACACATTTTTGAGTTGTGTTTTACACACCAGTTTGTGCAGATTTTTTATAAGGAATCCAGATTAGGACATCCTCAGTTCTTTTTTTGTGATCAAATGTTTTTTATTTAGTAATAATAACAATAGCAATAGCAAACATTAATACATACATACAAAATTAGGTTACACCCGTTTTGCCCAAGACCAGTTGAGACAATATTCCTTCCCCCTCCCCAATACAATTTAGATTCTATTGTCCCCAAGTAACTGTTCTTCTCTAGAAAGTAACTATAGAATTAGTCAATGCCAAGGAGATTCATGGACACTGAAAGGACAATATAAAAGAGGAAATATAGCATGTAAGTCAATAATTGTTCTATGGATGTGTGTGTGTGTGTGTGTGTGTGTGTGTGTGTGTGTGTGTGTGTGTGTGTGTGTGTGTGTGTGTGTGTGTGTGTGTGTGTGTGTGTGTGTGTATACAGTGCTGCTTGAAAGTATGTGAACCCAACAGGGCTGGTCATTATTTTGCTATAAAATATTAAAAGAAACATTAAATCCTTATCTAAACCCCAATTTGTAATAAAGACATTCCAAGTAAACGAAAGTAACAAAAAAGTATGATATATTTTCATTGTTTATTTAACAAAAGTGGTTTATTTAACAGAAACTCAGATTTGATGTGTGAACCCCTTCAGTCAATAGCTTGTGGCACCTCCATTAGCAGTGA